CCCTCCTTCTGCTGATTTTGGGCTTTGTTCTCTCTTTCTGGTTCTGTTAGGTGCATTTTAAGATTACTTATTTGAGGTTTTTCTTGCTTGTTGAGTTGGGCCTGTATTGCTATGAATTTCCCTCTTCTGACTGCTTTTGCTGCAAGCCGTAAGAGTTGATATGTTGTATTTTCATTTTTGTTTGTCTCCAGGTATTTTTAAATTTCCCCTTTGATTTAATGACATTTTAAATTTCATTTTTAAAGTATGTTTGTTGCGGGCTTATAGAAATGACCTCTTATGTACATAATCATATTGAAATGCTTAATGACAGTTTAATGTCCTCTTTTTTAATCTTCCTATTTTTTTTAACTTTTCCTGGCCTTATTATTCTGGGTAGTACCTTCATTACAATATTGAATAGAAGTGGTGATAGTAGGCATCCTTACCTTGTTCTTGATCTCAAAATAAAAGCATAAACTTTCAATATTTTACCAATAAGCTAATATTTAACACACATTTTTATAACTTTAAAAAAAAATAAGATTAAGGAGGTTCTCTTCCATTCCCACTGAGCTAAGAGATTTCTTCTTTTTAAAACACAAATGGGTTTTGAATTTTATCAAATGCTTTTTTCTGCATCTATCAGGATGATGATATATTTTTTTTCTCTTTTCTTCTATAATGAGGTATATTCCATTGATTGATTTTCAAATCTTAGGCCAACACATATTCCTGAAATAATATCCACGTGGTCATGATTTATTATCTTTTTAATATATCATGATATTCTAATTGTATGTATGTATATGTGTATTTGGATTTTTTGAATCTATATTCCTAAAAGTTTTGCCTATAAATTTCCTTTCCTGTAATATCTTTGTTGTATTTCCATATCAAGTTTGTTCTGACTTTATAAAGTGAAGAGATTGAATAATATTGGTGTTCTTTATTCCTTAAATTTTTGGAGGAATTTGCCAGTAAAGCCATCTGACCCTGAAGTTTTCTTTCTGGGAAACTTAAAAAAAAATTTTCAAATTATTATTTTAAATAATTGCTATCTCTGTTTAATAGATAAGGGACTATTCAGAGTTTATATTTCTTCTGGTGTCACTTTGGTAAGTTATATTTTTTTAAAGACCCTTTATTTTATCCAATTTGTCAAATTTATTGGAGAAAAACATGTTTAAATATGTTGCTTTTTTTTCTTTTTAACTTTTTCTGGCCTTATTCTTCTGGGCAGCATCTTCCTTACAGTGTTGAATAGACATGGTGATGGTAGGCATCCTTACCTTGTTCTCCATATCAAAATAGATGCGTGAACTTTCAGTATACATTCCAATATCTGTGGAGTCTATAGTGTTGTAGCCTTTTTCCGTTCCTGTTACTGTTAATCTGTGTGGTTTTTTTCTTCTTGTTTTCTTAATCAGTCTTGCTAAAGATCCATTAAATGTATTAGTCTTTACTGATTTTACTTTTATTGTTTGTTTGTTTCTATTTCATTAATTTTCACTCTTTTCTTATTTCCTTCCTTAAATTTTCGTTGGTTTGACTTGCTATACTTTCTCTAGCTGCTCAAGTTGACTTATATCATAAATGTTAAGACTTTTTCTTCTTTAATGTAGGCATTTAGTGCTTTCAGTTTTGCTGTAGGCATTTGCTTTAGCTGAATTCAGTAAGTGTTGATATTTTGTACCTTTATTAGTGTTCAGTTAAAAATATTTTCTAATATCTGTTGTCATTTCCTGTTTGACCCAGGGATTATTTAGATGTGTATTCCTTAATTTTCAAAGAGTTGGAGATTTTGTAGTTTTTTTTTCTCTCTTTCTGTTATTAATGTCTAGCTTAATTTTATTGTGATCAGAGAATTGCTCTGAAAATTTCAATCCTTGAAATCTGTTCAGGCCCACTTTATGACCATGTTTATGGTCAATTATGGTAAATGTTCCATGTGTCCTTGAAAAGAATCTGAATTCTGTCATTGTTGGATGTATTTATGTTAATTTGTCAATTATGTCAATTTTGGTAATTGTGTTTAGATTTTCTCTATCCGTATTGATTTTTTGGATTTGCTTATTCTATCATCTATTGAAAGAATTGTGTTAAAGTCTTTCACTCTAATTGTGAATTTGTCTATTTTTCCTTTTAATTCTGTTGATTTTTGCTTCACACACACACACACACACACACACACACACACACACAATCTTATTGGATGTATACAGTTTTATTTTATTTTTTGCTAAGGAAGATTTGCCCTGAGCTAACATCTGCTGCCAATCTTCCTCTTTTTGTATGTGAGCTGCTACCACAGCAAGACCACTGATAGACAAGTAGTGTAGGTATGTGCCCAGGAACTGAACCTGGGCTGCCAAAGCAGAGCACACTGAACTTGACCACTAAGCCACTGGGGCTGGACCTGGTATATAAAATTTTAGAATTGTTATATTCTAGTGATTTGATTTATTTATCAATCCACCATCCTAATCTTAGCAGTGGTTCTTGCCTTAAAGATGTTAGTATATCTACACAAGCAATATTTTAATAAGTATTTGCATGATATACCTCTCTCTATCAACTTCTCTGTGTTCTTATATTTAAGTGTTGTTTCATGAGCACTGTAAAATTTTTTTGCCCAGCCTGATAGTCTTTTTAATTAGAGTACTATCCATTTACATTTAATGTAATTACTCCATATTTGTAATTTTATTTGCCATATTATTTGTTTTCTATACATCTCATTTATTTTATGTTCCTTTTTCTCTCCTTTTTTGCTTTCTTTTGGTTTGAATTTTTATTTGATTTTTTCCCTCTAGCAACTTGTTAGTTATACACTTGTCAGTTATACGTTATTTTACTGTTCTTTTGGTGATAACCCTAACAATTGTAATATGCATCCTTGACACATTACATCTAGTAAAAATTATTACTTTTACCTAAGCAAGGAACTTAAAATACATTAACTCTATTTATCCTCTATGTCTTTGCATTATTTTTGACATGAAATGTTATTCTACATGATTTTTAAACCCCATAAGATATCCTTTTTTTCTAAAGTATGCTTTTTTTTTTTGGTAAGGAAGATTTTCCCTGAGCTAACTTCTGTTGCCAATCTTCTTCTTCTTCTTTTTTTCCTCCCCAAAGCCCCAGTATATAGTTGTATATCCCAGTTGTAGGTCATTCTAGTTCTTCTATGTGGGATGCCGCCACAACATGGCTTGATGAGTGGTGGGTAGGTCTGTGCCTAGGATCTGAATCAGTGAACCCCAGGGCACTGAAGCAGAGCGCACAAACTTTCAGCCACGGGGCCAGCCCTCACCCCAAGATATTCTTAATATTATTTTATAGAGTTAATGTTGATTTATACATATTCACAAAATTACTCTTTCTAGTGTCCTTCATTTCTCTTGCACTCCTTGATTCTGTCTTAGATCATTTTTCTTGTGTTGGAAGAACTCCCTCTTAGGATTTTAGTGCTTTCCTGCTGGCAATAAATTCTCTCAGTTTTTGTTTGTCTAAAAGTGTCTTTATTTCACCTTTATTTGAAGGGAATTTTTTTCTGGGTGTAGAAATCTAAATATGTGCTACTACACCAATTACCATTAGTAGTCTTACAGATGCATGCAAAATTTATTGAGCTGCAAATAATTTTCATAATTTATAATGTTTACATTGATCTTGGTGTTCTAGTCAATATTATATGATTTCTAACATCCCCCCTCTTTCTAGCATTCTGTAATGGAAATAGTCCAGGATTTGGAAAGTCAAATACCTTAATTTGAGAGTCAGTCAAGGTCACCTGTGTGACCTTGGACAAGTCATTTAACTCCTCTGAGCCAGATTCCTTATGTACAAAATGGGAAAATTACAATATTGGCTCTATTTCACTGGGAAGTTAGGAGGCCCTGTTGAAATATGTATGAAAGCACTTTGTAAAATGTAGAGTACCAATCAGTTGGAAATTTTTAGTGTGATTATTATTTACTGGAACAGAAACATCCTCGGTGTATATATCCATAATTCTCTTACAAATGCACATTTTCATGAACATCTACAAAATAGTTAAAACGATAGTATTCCTGTATGTATTTACTTGTACATACCCTTCCTTGTATGAGAAAGGATTAAGGACAGTGTTAACAGTTACAGAAAACACAACTTACACAAGGCCAATCACAAATTTATTTCTAATCTTTCAAGCAACTAACATGAAAAGGGAGACCTGGCCAGTTAAACACTATTCGTAATGCCCATAAGACAAAAATAACCCATTATTTGGGAGAAGTATAGTTCTTTCTTAACACTGGGTTCAGGTAGGAATTTTCTTTTAGGTTTTTAATGATGTAGAGTTATTTAAAAGATTTTTCTCCTGTTGTAGAAGTTACTGATTTGCATGGTTGATCCAAATCAGTATTGGACTGTTCTAGAATTTTAATATTCTGCTTCATGCCCTCGAAGGGAGAATTATACATTTTAATGTAGGCTGCAAGTAGCTGCTCTTCCACCCTACTTGCAAATGGATTCTATTCAGAAAACTAATAAAGAATGTCAGTTTCCTTTTCAAAATGCTTGGATACACATTAGTGGCAAGGTTAGGCTGATAAATTAAAATTTTATTTTGCATATATAACATTAGCAAAGCTGCCTTAGGAAGACAATATTTAGCTGTATTTTCTTTTTCCTTCATAAAGGTTAATTAAAAAATTCTTTACTACATTGATCAAATATTTATTGAGTCCCTACTCCACACAGGCATATTCCTGTTGGTTTGTTTGCTGTCTTGACAAAAAGTAGTCATTCAGCCTTATATTTTGTGCTTTCTTCTTTTGCTTTTTCCTCTTTTTTTAGTAAACACGTTTAAATGGAAAAGAACAGTATGGAACTGAAGCTTTTAAACAAACAACGGAAGTGTATAGTAGTGTCTGACAGCCAGCGCACTAACACACCTGAGGTTTTGTATGACGACTACATTTAAAATAGGACATTTATTCCTTATTTAAATTCTCTGAGTTTGTCTTCAGGTCTCTGGCGTGCATTTTATATGAGATGTGCTGCATGAATCACGCATTCACTGGCTCCAACTTCTTGTCCATTGTTTTAAAAATTGTGGAAGGTGACACACCTTCTCTCCCTGAGAGATATCCAAGAGAGCTGAATGCCATCATGGAACGGTACGGAAATAGATACAGAGCCACCGAGACAATTTTAAATGGTATTTATATTTTCGTTCATTTGAAAAAGAATTTTCTTTTTAAACCTTACAGCATGTTGAACAAGAATCCATCACTGAGACCATCTGCTATAGAAATTTTAAAAATCCCTTACATTGAGGAACAACTACAGGTATTTAAAACGAAAGCAGTGCGGGAAACACGTATTAGCATTTATATACATTCTGGGACTTGAAGATGTGCTGCGGGAGTAAGAGGCATCAAGAATCAGTCAGAAAGGAGAAACAAGATTTCTTTTAAGCTGAAGGAAATTATTAGTTAGGACAATCTTTTTGCAAAAGCAAGTGTGTGAACTCCATTCCCAGGTGCCCCAGATGTGAGAAGTTTGGGCTGCGATTTTCTGCCTCAACTCAACATCTACCCTTAGAGCTCCTGGTTTACAAATCTTGCCTCAACCCTTTGTCAACATATCCCTGCCGGGACAACAACGTACTACTAATAATACCAAAATCTGGGGGTCCCATTGAGCCTTTATTGTTCCACTCCTTTATTCTGTATCTCAAGAGGGCTTTCTGTTGATTAGCTGAGTTTATTTTGTTTTCCTGTAGATTCGAAAATTTGATGCAGAGAATCTCCCTCTGGTGGTAAGAAAAAGGCAGGAGGTTTTTCTTACTTCTTAGGCTTTCACAATAGAAATCCCTCTGGTAAATTTCCTTTAAGTTTGTCAACAGCTTTAAGAGGACCCACAAAGCAGTCATTCCCCTTCAAAGATGTGCACACCTTTTCGTCAGGGTCCAGTTCTAAATCCTCGGGGATCAAGGGTGTCGACCCGATATGCATTCACTAGCTGAGGGCCGGCCCCTGTGTGGACACTGGGGGCCGAAATGAAATGAAAGGAACAGATGTGGCTCCTGTCCCTTTGGAGCTTGACTGATAGTAAGAGAACCCATTGACCAAGAAAAAGTAAGCAAACAAATACAATAATTATAAATTATCAGGAGCCCTAGGAAGAAAGCAAACAGGATGCTGTAAAACAAGGGAGGGGGAGGGGCTTTGGCAGTCAAAGAAGGAGTAGGTGACATCTCGACATCAGCAAGACAGCAAGAAGCAACCAGCAGTATGAAGTCTAGAAAGTGTTGGAATCACGGGGAGTAGCTCGTGCAAGCCCTGAATGCGGTCATGTTTCCTGGAGGGAGGTATGGAGGGGAGGGTTCTTCTGCAAGGATGCGCTCCCAGGGGAAACCCCTAGGAAGTAGGGTTAGCAGGACCAGAGAGGGGAGGTGGGCAGAAGTTCCCTGTGCTTCCAGCTCTCCCTCTGTGGGGGCAGAGCCGGCTCCACTGGCCCGAGAGCAGGCCGCTGACAGGGAGGCACAGGTGCTGGCTGTTGGGATCCAAGCCACACTGGAGGGCTGTGAGCCTGCCAAACAGTGAAACAAAGTTTAATAGCGTGTATGCATGGGAGAAACTGAGTAACTCAGCCAACTGGCTGAGGCTGCCTGTTTAAGGACCTTCAGCTACAGACAAGGAGGACCTTTGGGGTGGTGGTTTGGGGCTTCAAAGGGGAGGAAGGCAACCCACATGGAAATGGAAAAGCAAATGTTTGGTAAATAGAACTTTGATAAGAGTGGGTTTAGCAAGGATTCTCCCAGTCTACCGGATACCCAGAGTTATCTATGGGGACGGCTTGTCCTGGGGACAGACCTTTATTTTAAATTTCTTTTAGGCAGTTAGAGGGGAAAGGTCGAATGCTCTTCTTGAGTCTGAGCCTTTATTGTCTTCAGCTCAAAATAATCCACCTACCAGAGTGGCACATCTTGGGGCGGCCTGCCCTGGATGCCATCAGAGCCCACTCATCTCACCTTGGTCCTGGCCCTGGGAGTGGGGTCGCTGTCTGCTGCAGGCCTGGAGGTGGCAGAGAGCTGTGTCTTCTTGGAGCTGAGGGGAGGCCTGCCCGTGCCTGGGGAACAGGGAATGAGAGGGCAGGAGGTGTGAGCTGCAGTGGGAGAGGTACGCGAGCCGGACCTGGCAAGGTCTCGTTGCATAAGCTACCAGGGAAATGTCTGTAACCCTTTATCGAAGGCGCAGTAGTTATGAGTGAGTTTTGTTTTCAAGCTCCCAGACATGGTCAATAATACGGCAAAGCAGAAAAGGCACCTGGTTGTTTTATGCCCTTTCATCCCTGAAGAGGAGTCTGTAAGGTGTCTAAGGGTTATTTTTTTTCCAGCACCTGATGTGTAGATATTCAGAAATGACTCTGGAAGACAAGAATTTTAATTGTCAGAAGGAGGCTGCTCATATAGTTAATGCCGTGTAAGTAATTTCTTTGTTTTTAAAAAGCCCATTGAGCATAAATGTTAAATGCGTTTGTCTTTAAAAATCTATTAGTGCTAAGCTGACTGCATGGAATATCCTAGAATTCGCTTAAGTCTTGCCAAGAAATTAAGGAGCTTCAGTAACTTGGCATTGCAAAGCCCTTTGCCCCAGGTGGTAGCAAATTGAAATAAAAGTTTAAACCACAGCACAGCTTACAGATCTGCAGGGTAGCGCTGTAGTTGCCTTGTAAGTATAGAGAGAAATTAATATCTCAAACATTTAGTGATATTTATGCTAATGAACCTTCCATATTAAGCATAAATGACTTTCACATGTTGTTTGTTTAATGGGAACTGGCAGAGTATCTTTTGAAAAGGCAACATGTGGAGTCATGAAAATACAATTGAAAATAAGCCAAAATTCACTTCCTTGAGATATACATAAGAAGTAGACAATGTGTTTCATCAAAGAATCGTAGTTATTTCCTGGCCTAACTTCTCCTACTTCATTCAAAATATCTGTGTTGTAACTTAGAAGAGCCCAGAATACTAGGTTACTTCAGAACAATGTACAGCTGTACAGGCTGTGTATTGAACAACTCCAGGGGGCACCACTTATAAAAACCAAATCTATAATTTTTGCCGAAGGACCACTCTATTTAATTTTATAAGGACCCGATGAGAATGGCAGTCGTTCTCCAGAGTTGTGCAAGGTGGTGGGGTGAGAACAGTAGCCCTCATTAGGTAGCCCAGATCTTCGAGGCCAAATAGTGTAAATATGTTTCTCTGACCCCCAGTCCAGTGGTTTCTCAACTGCACCATGTTTGTTTTCCATCTTCACATTCACAACCGAGGAAACTGGTCCATGAAAGATATGAATTCTTTGTTTAACGCGTGATCTCCAGGTAAAGTACACTGCACGTCAAGGGATGAGCATGCTCCTATAACCAAGTTTTCTTGGGTTGCTAACTGTTCTTTCAAGAAACCTCGGAACTTCTTATTTTATTTTTATTTTAAAAGTAGAGATGTGAGAGTAGTAGATATTTTAGTACTGGACTAATTTTAACTATCATTTTGCACTGCAGTTATGAAACAGTTTGCCTGATACTGCTTACAATTAGAGTGTGCTCGAATCCAATTGTTTGGATGGTGTTTCACAATATGAGATAGTGGTTTCAAATTGTCACTGTTATTTTCAAGATCTATGACTATGTTTTAAGGAGATCTATTTGATCTTACAAAATAAGGTGTGTCTATTCCTGCAAATTGCATGTCCCCTGGAGGCTCTGGTCTGGATGGTATCCCAGAAGGATGAGACCTGCCTACAATGGCCATTACAATTTTCTCAGTGTTTCTTAAGGAGGGAGTTGAGTGCAAAAGGCGTTCTGCATATTGAGCCCTAACCAAGTCCAGCGCAGAAACAAATGTCGTTGAGAATGTGGTTATAGATCTTTCAGTGGTTAATGTAAGCACATTTATTTAGCTGAGGAAAGAGATTCTTAAATAATAGTATTGGCTGACATTTTGGGGGCCATGATCGTATACACGGCTCTGTTATAAGCACTTTACGTGAATTAAGTCATTTAAACTCACAACAACCCTATGAAGTAGGTACTATTATTATTATTATTTTAATGTCATAGAGCCATTAAGTAACTTGCCCAAGGGCATATAGCATGTCACCTCGGAGGCAGGATTTGAACTGAGAGAATGTTATTAGCCTGTGCAATTAACCACTATGCCAGGCTGCCATAAAAATACCTACTGTATTAAGCCTAGAATAGAAGACATGTTCAATAAGATTCAGCTATTATAATAATACCGTTTTTGGATACTGTTAATGTGTCAGATACTTTAAATACATTATCTCATATAATACTCACTATGGCCCATTATTTATGGATAAGAAAACTGAATTTCAGAGAGGTTTGGTAACTAGCTACAGAGCTAATTAGTGGTGGAGATGGGATTCAAATCCTTCTGTTTCCTAAGATTGTGTCCTATCTGCATGGTTTAATTAGTCTGCCAGAATATTTGCTTCTCAGAGGCCAAGATCTGAATTTGTCTTACATTATGAAAACCAGTCATAGGCAATGAAATGAGCAGAAATTTGGAAAGTACGTAATTTTCTCTTAAACAAAAATCTAATTTGAAATATATTGCCAATTAACCACAGTCCTGGTTGGTTCATTACCTACCCAGAGTTTATTGGTTTTTGCCTGGTCTGTCTCAAGATGCTTTTCCCTTCTCAGTAGTGTAATGCTACGTCTGTAAAATATTTGTTTAATTTTTCTGACCTTATTTGGGGTGGGTTGCATGTGGGGAATCTTTATATCTATAGGCAAAAAAAGATCCACCTGCAGACTCTGAGGGCGCTGTCAGAAGTGCAGAAAATGACACCGAGAGAAAGGATGAGGCTGAGGAAGCTCCAGGCAGCTGATGAGAAGGCCAGGAGGCTGAAGTAAGCTGTATTTCCTTAGGGCACCCTGGGCCCTGGGCCGCTTCGGGGGGCGGCTCTGAAGGAATTTACTGAAGACAAGCAAAAACCAAAACAGGAAATCAACATGCACATACTCATTATATATTTATCTGTTTACTCATTCACTCGTTCCCCCAAAAGATGGTTGTTGAGCCATAGATGGTTATGGGATGCCAGGCACTATTAATATCAGGCTTTCAGTCTTGTGTGAAAAGAAAAATTGAATATCAGTGAGGTTATTAGTGATGAAAACATAAAGTCAGCCTCCAAACGAAGCCTCTTTGTTGGGAACACCTTCTGTACAGACTCCAGTGAGAGGGTGAGACGGCGGCTTCACTGCCCGATCCTCACTCCCCAGATGTTTGCTGTAGCCCCTCTGCCAGGAGACCTAACTCATCTCTAGGGGGAAGAATGTAGTGGCAGGAAATTGTTGGCCTTAGAAAGCAGATTGGAAACAGAACTCTGTTCAGTCAAGGGAAGCCCTTTGAAAAGTCTATGCCCCAGGCGCCACTGCTGGTGGGAGGCAGCATTAGTAATTAGAGCATTTCCACAAGAAAGGGGAATTCCAGAGAGCGCTACAATCCCAGTTTCTCAAAGTCTGATTTTTCAGTTGGTAGGTTATCCAATTTCCTAAATTTTTTCTTCTTTCTTCTCCTGCCAACTTTTTGGTAGCTTAGAAGCCCCAACGAAGGGCTAAAGAGACAGAACAGACCTGAAACTCAAATCTGTTCATTTTGTGACCTTGTTCACGTATCTGAAAAATGGTGTAGGGGTGTCCTTGTGCTTACAATGAAGATCATGATGAACTGAGTAAGACTCTGTGAGACGGTTTTCCCTGAACACCCGCTTTCTTTTGTAAATGTGGCAAAAGATTTCCGTCAAAGTGCATCCTGGGCAGTGGTGTGCTGGTAAATGTTCAACAACCACCTTTGGGCAAGTAAGAGGGCTGGGGTGACTGCTGATTTCTTTGCTGATTTCTGTGATGTATATACTCCCAGGATTGGCCAATTTCTAACTACCAAGGTGATATTGATGCGGGGTCGGTGAGCCGAGGAGTCGAAAGAAAGATTTCTTAGACTCTCAAGATCTGGCAGTAGTGCTCTTTTATTTAGAGAATAGGGATAGAGTAGCATGGGGACAGGACCCATGGGCAGTCAGAGCTTCTGCTGCTGCCCCGAACTGAGGGTTAGGGCCAAATTTAAGGCATAGGTATGTGAGTTATCTCTTTATTAGTGCCCGTTTGGTTTGGCCATTTGGCGGTCCCACAACTTTTAGATAAGAATCAAACCGGATTGAGTAAATGGCAGAAGTCACCGCTTGAATTTTATCCTCGGCTAAAGATAAAAGGAGGATTTGTCGGGGGGGGAGGGTCAGTTACATGAGGTTGCCAGACAGTTTCCAGAGATAAGGCCATCCCCCCTTCCTCCTGGCTCAGAGAGGGAGGCATCTTCACAGATAGAGGTTTCCCTTAGAAATGTAAATGTTTTCCCAACAAGGGGCAAACAAATTCCAGAGAGGGAGGCATGGAGATTTCCTTTACAAATGCAATTGTCTCTGATCAAAGGGCAAACAAATTCCACTCCTTGGAGCCTGCTTCTTATCTGTAGTTTTAAAAGTAACCAGCCAAAAAATCCTCATCATAAACTGTTTTAAAATTAAGCAGCCTAAAAATCCTCATCAATATCATTGTTCATTTGGGAAGATATGTCCATAGTCTGCTCTTGGGAGCCAGTACAAGTTGGTTTCTGCAAACTACTAAACCACTGAGTGTGGGTTTTACTGAGAAAATGTATTCATTTAGATTGTTTGAGCCATTGCATCAGCTCACAGTCCCAAACCTATTTCTAACCTCAGAAATGGCAATATTTCCAAGTACTATGATTCATGTCATTGGTTGAGGGTAAACGGAAAATTAAATCTCTGACAGGAATAGATTAAAAAGACTAATTACTTACATGCACATTACAAATTGCTTTTCAGATTAAAACTTTTTTTATATACCAGAGAAGGTCACAGATCCTTCACGTGACATTTAATATTTTTTTTATTTAAAGGCAATGGCTTTTAAATAAAGTTTCATCTTGATTTTATGAATCACTTACATTGGAATTGTTTTTGATCGTTATTTCTAGGATTTGAGAGTGGTCATGCGTTTTACCTAGAAAATGGCTGTATTGTTAGAAGGGTTATAATGTACCCATTTTATATACGCGAAAATTTGACTCCAGGGATGTTCAATGACTTTTCAAAAAAATCTAAGTATAAATTAGCATGCAAGTAATCACAAGAACTGAAATCTTTCTTCCAGTTTAGTAGCAGGTCTATTAAATTCAATCGTCCAAAGGAAATATGTCTGAGAAAAGTTCCCCTCCCTAGTGAGTCTCATATTCTTTTCCATAAATTCTTTGAAATGTAGCTCTATTTTCCACGTTTATGGGTTTGTTCATCCTGAAAGCAGTTGTTGACTTATTAGTATGTGTTAGGCCTTGTGCTGGGCATTGGGGACACACAGCCCTGTCACCGCAGTCAGAGAACGCACAGGGATTGGTACTGTCTTCCGCTGCTGCTTTTAGGAGTTCTAAGGCTGAATAAGAAGCCAGAACATTCTTATGTGTGCTTTAAAAGAGAATCAAGTAGATGCCACACTGTGCACATCGTGATGAGGGAGAGACCCATTGGCCTAGCTTCCTAACAACCCAGTTTGCCTGTTGAAACAGGAATCACACTTACTTGTATAATGTAGATGTGGTTTTAGCAAATTTCAGCTATTTTTCTATGTTCATTTTAAATTTGCAGAAAACTTGTGGAAGAAAAATATGAGGAAAATAACAAACGAATGCAAGAATTGAGATCTCGGAACTTTCAGCAGCTAACTGTTGACGTGCTCCATGTAAGTACTCTCTTATTTTGAATTTTACATAAAACCTTTTTTTCTGACTGTTTTTTCTTCCCAAATACCCCCAGCACATAGTTGTATACCCTAGTTGTGGGTCCTTCTAGCTGTGGCACGCGGGATGCCGCCTCAACGTGGCCTGACCAGTGGTGCCACATCCATGCCCAGGATCCGAACCAGTGAAACCCTGGGCTGCCGCAGTGGAGCGTGTGAACTTAACTACTTGGCCACAGGCCGGCCCCCAAGTACTCTCTTATTTTGAATTTTACATGAAACCTTTTCTTGCTTCAGATTCTTCAAATTCATGGGGCCAGTTGGGTAGGGTAAGGAACAAGGTAGGAAAAAAAAAGCATCCAGACCAACTTGGCCCAATTCCAGGAAGGATGTACTGGGGTTCATTTTAGAGTGTAGGCCAATGGGCAGTGACTACACTTATTCACAGCAGCTGTACTTAGAGAAGACAGATCAAGTGATTCATCCAACAAATATTGAGTGCCTACTATGAACGAGATAACAATCAGCACTGAATAAACAGTTGATGAGTAAAAATTATGACTGTGCATAATAGAGGTATGTCTGCCTAATTCTGAATTTCGGCCATGCTATTGTGGCTTTTCTTCTTTAGTCAACTGTTCTCTTTCTCTCTTGTTTTTTATTCTTTCGCTTTTAATTTTCTGTCTCCCATCCATATCATTGTGCATTGTGTTTACAACCCCTTTAAACTTTGAAGAATTACCATAGATGTCTAGTAATAAATAGGGTCGCAGATTCACATGAAATGGACCCCAAGTTCATGTCCTCTGCATCCCAAGCCCGTGAAGAGCAAATACCATTTTCTCTAATGGTTAAAAATATCTTCAGAGGCCTTGATGTAGGCTCTGATGCTTAGTCTTTCTTCAGGGTCATGTTTGGACAACAGACATCAACATGGCCTCCTAGATGTTCGTAAAACCACTTGGGAAGGAGTCATTTTTATGGAGAAATCACTGTCTCAAATTCTGCTTGTTCATTCGTTGGAGATCCCTGCATCTGAAGGAGGTTCTTTACTTTAGCAGGAAGAACCAAGCCCCCTGAGGCTGTGGATGCTCATTCTGCTGGAGCTCAGGAAGCAGAGGGCTCCAAACCCTGGGGCCTGCAGGAGCCCTACAAGAGCTCGCTCTCAGCCAGGCTGAGCCTGGAACACTTGTTTTCTGCCTCCTTCTGGGAGGTAATCCACCTTTCTCAATTATTTAGTGGTTGTGAGTGCTTTAGAGTTCTGAAAACCCAAAGTTGGACCAGACAGGGAGCCAGCCTTCTCTGACCTTAAGAGTCTCCCTCTGTTGGACACTTTAGCAGACCATGTGGGGATGCAGGCAATAAGTGCTCATCCCACCCCCCTTTCTCCACCCATCTCCCACTCCATTAGGTGAAGCCAGCTGTGAGATCTGTTGCGGGCTCCAGAGATGTGGCAGATGGCATTGGTCCTGTTCACGGAGCCTGATGTATGGAGAAATTGCTGGCTGAAAGGGCCTGGGGTCAGTGGCAGTGTTGGATCCCTGCTTGGGGAAGGGTCTTGATGCTACCCAATCCCCCTTCTAACACTGAGCGCCTTTCTTCAGCTCTCTAGATACTGTCTAGGCCCTGAAATGATAGCTTGTGGAGGTGGGTCATTTTCCCTGGGTCTGTTGGCTTTCTTCCCCTGAGAACTGAGAACGGCGAGTTCCCACAGATCCTCGTAAGGAGTCTGGCATGAGGATAAGAATTCTGCTTGTCAATATGTGTAAACTGCTCATCCAATCAGCTGATGGAAACTAAGAATTTCTTTCTGGAATGCTCAGGGACCCCTGCTTCTCAAAGATTTTACCCCCAGAGATTGGAAATTGACAAGTACAGATGTAGTATTTGTTTTATAAAACCTAAATAACTGTCTTTATTCTTGAAGTTACCATATGGCAAATAAAAATAGCTTCAAGTATGATCTTACGTTTTAATGTCTTACTTAACTTTTTTGCCTTTCTTCATTGACCCTTCAAAATAATCATTTTTGTGTTCTTTTCATTTCTGATGTGATTATTATCAGCATTGAACAACTACACTGTGTAAGGTCCTGTCCCTCCTATAAACCAGAGTCCATGGGGGGATCCTGAAGTAATTTAAGACTGAGACCATATGGCAGGCAGAATCTCAGCAGGTTTTATTAGCTATATTATCCCATAGAACATGGGAGCCAGACGATAGTCCATATCTTGGCCCAACTCAGGTGAAGAAAGTGAGGATTTCACAAAGATTTTACCAAGTGCCAACTCATAACTTCTACGGCGTCTCCCTACTTCCCAATTCCATCCCTTTTCCATCAGCAAGGAGCAGCGGGAGCTGGGGGGGTAGTGCCTGATGCTGTCTTGGCCAGAGATATTGTTTCATTCTTTGATCTTCTAAGATTCAGTATCACCAACATCTTTGACCCTGAGCTTACTGGAAGCATGTTTCCTAAGTCTGCATATTGATAGGAGCAGGAAATGCTCCATTCAGGTACTTGGCTCTTGAAGATAACATCCTCTTCTAGCTGGTTCCATCCTGTAGATGGAGTGGCTCAGCATCCCCAGGTCTCTTGCCCTCTTTTGTGCAATTATATCAGCCATTTCCTTCTGACCCATCATTGGCATCCCACCTTCTGTCTTTGAAATGTCACCTCCTCTTCAGGAAAACCTTTGATCTCTCAGATCCACAAACCACTGGCCCTCCTCTAAATTCTTCTGGCTTATAGCAACGTGTCTCAAATTTCAAAATGCACCTGAATCACGGTTGGTCTTGTTGAAATGCAGATTCTGATTTGGTTGTTCTGGGTGGGGCCTGGGACCCTGCATTTCTCACAAGCTCCCTGATGATTCTGCTGCTGCTGGTCCGGGACCACTCTGATTAATAATGGACAGAAACTGGGCCTCTTGAAAGCAGCTGTTCATCTTCAGACGAAGGAAGACCAGGAAAAGCCATGATGGACAGACCTCCTTATAATCGCTCTAGGAAAAAGGACACTTAATGCGAACGGAAGGAAAGGAGGAGCAACCTGAGGGAAGGCTTTCTTGTTCACCCCGGGAGGAGGATGAAGAGAGGAGCCCAGGCAGAGCAGAGGCAGATTTAATCATATTCGCAGACACAAGAGAGGCAGGGTTAGTGATATTCACAGAACAAAGGAGGGAGAAAACAGGAAGCTGAACACTTTGCAGAGAGAATGAAGGGTTTTAAATATCTCAGAGAAAGGCATCATTGAGCTGAAAAAGATGAAATAAAATATAAGAAGGAAATTGGATTAATCATATGCAAGAGACTAAAGAAAAACATGATAAAGAAGGAGAAAAGGAAGGAGGAGGAAAATGTTCGTGTCTGTGCCCATATGCAGATGTTTATGATTTCATTTCTTCCTGATCTCACTGGGGCTCTGTTCTCTATTCCTTCTTCCCTCTCTCTTGCCAGCTGAAGAAAAACATTTTATTTTTCAAAATCAATTGTAGGAGATGGAATCAGAGTTAGGGGAGAGAATGGGCTGGCTATGTTACCTCTTAAACATGTTACAGAAATTCTCTGAGGCATTTAGGAGAGTGGCTTGTTTTTTTTTTCAGACCCTGACTGACAGGGTCTTTTATTTTGGCAGGGATTTTCTGCTTGGCTGGATTTGGGCTTGGAAATCTTGAAGCATAGTTGAATGTGGAATCATGCTAGGCACTGTTTCTTTAAAGGATCGTAGCTTAAAAACAACTAGATACATAAGACACATGAGAAGCCCAGTCTTTCTTTTATCCTGTGGGTATATAGTTGTGATGATGCCAAAATTGGGTTTCTGTGAAAAGTGCATAGCAGATCAGGTCTCCACACATGAAATGGTAATGGAGATCAAAGATTAGATCAAGTCCTTCTCTTTCTAAGAGAAGCAATTATAACAATTCTATCTGTTCTCTTCAGAGAGAACCTCAGCAAATCAAAGTCAGTTGAGAGCCCAAATAGTTATTTTCAACTATTTTCTGAAGTCCATGTAAAAACACACATCACACAGTCTCTGTTCTCTGTTCTTAAAGTTGTCTGTGTGCTGTCAGTGACCCTTTAAAACTTGGAACCAATTTCATCCCTGCAGCAATTATTATACAGTGCAAAAAGTGGACTTCTTAAAAATATGTTGTGACTATGTTTTCATGAATGCCGCACCACAGTGTAGTATGGCTTTGTTTTACTTATTTAATGTTAGTTTGAAGTTTCCTTTCTATTTTTAATAAGAAGACATTCTTGTAGCAGTTCTCCGTGAAAGCTATTTATCAAGGAAAATCGGTCAACTCAGCTTTAGCTCTAGGTTGCAAACACACACACACACAAACTGAAAAAAAGGCTAAATGACTTATTGAAATACCTATTGATATATTTGAGAAGTTTACCTCTTATTTTTTTGAAGTGTGAATTCTTTCATGTGGCCTCTTAGATCCCTTTCTTTTAGCAAATTGGAATTCATAGAATCACAGAACTTTTAAAGCTAGAAGAGAACTCGGAAGTCATCCAAGCCAATTCCTCTAGTTTTGTTTTGTTTTTTTTTCTTTTGAGGAAGATTAGCCCTGAGCTAACTACTGCCAATCTTCCTCTTTTTGCTGAGGAAGATTGGCCCTGAGCTAACATCCATGGCCATCTTCCTCTACTTTATACGTGAGATGCCTGCCACAGCATGGCTTTTGCCAAGTGGTGCCCTGTCCGCACCCGGGATCTGAACGGTGAACCCCGGGCTGCCAAGAAGCAGAAAGTGCGAACTTAACCGCTGTGCCACCGGGCCGGCCACTGCCTCTAGTTTTGAGATAAGGCAACTGAGCAGGGCTGGACTAGGATGAATAAGTATGATACCCAGGGTACAAAACTGAAGGAGGTATTCGTTCTCACCTGCCAGTCGATCCTGCTCTTGCCTGAGCCTGAAAGTGAGAACCTTCTTCAATTGTGCACCCTGGGCATTCCACCTGCCTCATCCTAGTCCTGGCCCTGAATCTGAGGCCATGGGAGGTTAAATCCTTTGCCCAAGGTCACCTGTCAAGTTGATTCAAGGCTGTTTCTCATATCCCCAGCTGCCTTCCTGAAATTTGAAAATGTTATCATGTTTAAGGGAGAGGATTAGGTAGGCTTTTGTTTCTAAATAGTCTTCTAAACAAGAATATTGTTTCATTTGTGGTAATGCTATTTCCTTCTATCAGCTTCTCATGAATTGTTCATTACCTTTCACAAGGAATTTGATGACCCAACTTCAGAGAACCTGCCTGAGTCTCAGCCTGTTTCTTCCCTGGACCTCAGCACACTTGACTCAAGTGGAGAGGACACCATAGCTGATCTTGGAGATCATGGTATGAGTTGGCGTCAGTATTCAGAAGGGTACTGTTAGCTGACACATGGGTTGGTGTGGCTGACCTCTGAGAGAAGCCTTGGATGTATGTGACCACCTTCCGTCTTTGCCAGAGCTGGGCTGTGACCAGGGTGAAAAGCAGAGAAGCCATGGGGTTTGTCCTCTTCTCTCTTCTTTGTGTTAGTGAAGGTGAGCTGGAAATGCTCACCAGGTGAGGGACCTCTTCTTCTGCATCAATTAAACAATATTGTCATTAACCTGTCTTTGGAACAGTGTTGGACTGTGAATGCTCTGAAGTATTATTTCCTTCTATGAATGGTTTCCCTGGCCCTTGTAGGGGAGGAAGAACTATTTAGTTTCTATTTCTAGAACAGAACTATTTCTCTTTAGTAAAGGAAGACCCCTTTAGTTTCTTCTGGCTGGTCTAAGAATTAAATTGGCATGAAATGAAATAACAGGAGAAAATCAAACAAAGTTTAATAACGTGTATATTTGGGAGGAACCCGGGAAAACTAGTGGCTCACCAAAATGGCTGAAGCTACCACCTTAAAACCATCTTCAGCTGAAGACAAAGGAGGATGTTGGGGGTAGTGGTTTTGGAATTCAAAGGGAAGGAAGACAATTCACATAGAGATGGAAAAGCAAATATTTGGTAAATAAATGTTTGCCATGTTTTGCAGAGACAGTGTGACATGGGAAGGACTTTCATCAAATGGGCCTTGCCAGGTTCCTCCCTGTCTATCGCACCTAGTTCGTATTATACTATAGTTCTCTATGGGACAGCTCCTTCCTGGAACAGGCCTTCTATCTTAAATTCTTTTAGGCAGTTAGGGGGAAGGTCAAAGTTTCTTTCTGAGTCTTTTGTTCTTAAAAATAATCAAGCCAAAGAGATGCATTTTAGGGTGGCAAATTCTGATCCCTCACACCCTCATAAATTTAAAGTAAAGAAATGAAGTCGGACTTTGGAAAACCAACGCTATGGATGTGCAATCATTGCCAGAAAAAAAGTGGGAAAGATACATCATAGCCTAATGGTTAAAAACATGAGTTTTGAAGTATAAAAGCTAGTTCTATCAGGAAGCCCCAGGCAGCTTAATCTCTCTAGCTCTCAGTTTCCTTATCCATGAAACAAGAATAATACCTCCTTTAATGGTTGTTGTGAAAAGCAAATGAGACTAGGCATGTGATGTGCTTTTAGCTCAGTGCCCAGCACACAGTAAGAGCCAAAGAAAGGGAAGCAGTTTATGACCCTGAGGGGAAGAGTAAGGATGTAGGGGCCTTCTCAGTCTTGTACCACTCTCCCCAGTACCTAGGACAAAGTACCAGGAATGTTGTAGGCACTCAATAAATATTTATTGGATGAATGAGTGGATGAATAAATGAATGAATAATATGTTAGTCTGGACCTCTGAGAAGCAGTTGCCAAGTTGAGACTAAAAGCACAAGGATATCATTGGGGAATGTCTGCCTGAAAGGAACTAGGAAAGGAGCTGGAAAAGGCTGAGAGAACCATCAGACCACGTTTCAAGTCTTATTCCAAGTGAGAAGAGAGAAGGTTCGGGGGATCAGCCAAGACATCAGAAAGTCCTTAAGCAAAGTCACCCATCAGAGGCCTGCTTTAGCATCCCTGATACACTCCTGCAGTGGCCCGTGGGGCGGTGTAGGAGCCTCCGAGAGAATTCAGGGATGGACAGCTGGGGCCCTTGGCCAATTACACTCTTTGTAGTTGGAGGTCTTCAAGGGGCATCTTCAAGGCTGCACAATGGTATGACAACTCTTTTTTGGCAGTAGTTGAGTTCTCTTTCCAAACTAAGAATGAAAGCAGTGGAACATGGATTGGCTGGTCATCTTAGCCCAAATTTGCATTTGATGTCTTCCTAATAGAGCTGTTAGAGCTTGTGCTGCCTCCTTCAGCTATAAGGAAACTAGCAGCCAAAGCTCTTTAGGTTGGCATCTGCCAACTTTTGAAATGGTGTTGTAGAAGCTATCTAGTAACAGGTGTTATTGACAAACAAATCTTTATATCAGAATTGATTTGCATCTTAGACTCTTTTTAGGTATTTCTTTAATATGTAATTTGTTGTTCTCCAAAGGTAAAATTTGAAAGCATAGAAAGGCCCATGGGCCTTTGTTTCTAAGAATATAAAACTGAGAGTTAGGCCACCGAGTTGCACATGATATGGATGGCTTGTGCTCTGCTGGAGGGCAGAGCCTTGCTATCTATAGAGAGGAAGCCCCAGGACAGGATATTGAGTGGATGGTCTAGGATCAAGAAGTCTGGGCCCAGCCTCTGGGTTTCACCTGGGAAAAGTACTTGTTACTCATTTCAAAGATGAGACGCCAAAGACATGAAGTAATTTGCTCAAGGACTCTAAAGCTCCTGCTTTCTATTGCAGCACCCTTTTCATTTCCCCCGAAGTGATTGGGATTGGAAGTGGTGGGTAGCAGCAATAGATTTGCAAGAAGCAGACAAACATGTCAAGTGAATTGGACCTTCAAAAGGCAGAGAGTCTTTGTGTGTCTCCATGCTAATTTTTGTTAACTGTAGTAGCCAAATTACTCCTAAGCTAGCCCTGACCACAGGTTCCAGCTGCTACCAGGAGACTCAAGCTGGTGCCCTCCTCAGGTCTCCCTTTGTCTTTTGTCATGGAGGTTTCAAGATGGTAGACCTCATAGTGATTTACCGGTTAAAGTGGCGATGGGAAAATCTACTCCTTTGACCACCTTGTTCATGCAATAAGGAAACACTACTTACATCTCCATAATAAGCTGTAGAATGCAAAAAACAGTAGTTTTAGTTGAGCCAAATACCTTGGAAAATACACGTTTCCCTTATTTTTTCGTCTCTATAAAGTCATATTTTCTAAATTTGATTCTATCTTGAACATTAAACTGAAAAGGGAGACTTAGAACTATAAAAATGTAACCTTTGGATTGATGATTGGTTAGAACGGTGGGCAACTTACAAGATGATTGTGATCACATAGCTTAATCATGAAATTTTGAGACATCAGACTTTAATCTGTTGATGAACTCTGGAGTGGTTAGTTAGTTTCCGCATTCTCTTTGCCTTTTACCAGATTTGACTCCAAACTTTCAGAGGAAATTTTTATTTGTTTACTTTTTATCTAGCATGTATATGTAAAATAAAATTACACAGTCTTTTTTTAAGCTCCTACACCAAATGTTTAATCAGTCTTTGATGTTGAACTGGAAAATTCCCTTTGGGATGAGGGGAGTTAGTTGCAGAGGAAGAAGACAGGCTAAGACATTATTTACATTTGATATGCATTTAGTTGACAACAGCTGATTTAATCGAGCTGAAGTCATGGATAACCATTATAATCAAATGAGAAAGCACAACCGGAACATTAAGGAAATTATCCTGATTTAACTTCTTTTTTTGTAATGCTGATGATTTCTTCCACATTAATTTTTGTCAGGAACTTCATTGCATTCTAGCCTTATTTTCAGCAACTCATAGCTGAGTTTCAGAATAGCATTTCTTGTGAAGCTGGAATAGCCTGATACTTGTGGATCCTGGGCCCACCCAGAGCATGGCTCTTAACCCAACCTTTCAAATTGCAGAATCTGCACTGGTGTGCACCTTGGTGGCCCACCTAGAGCCTGACCAGTTGTCACCTCTTTATTGCCCTTTCAGCCACTCCTTGAGCAAGTCCTGAGCCCCTTCCCTGTGCTCAGGGAAAGCTCGGACCTTAAGGGGGTTGTGCTTTGCTTGCCCGTAGGAAGTCCACATGCCCTTTTCAGTTGTGGGCTGCTCAATGTCCTATAGTGTCATCACTTTCCTTTAAATGTCCAAGTGGAAATAAGGTGATTTGAACTCTGTTATGCAATGATATATTTTTATTGTTTTAATTTAAAAAAAAAGAAAACTTTAATTGACTTTGAAATTCCACTTCTAGTTACCTAAGAGAAATGAAAGCATGTCTACTAGAAGATCTATGTACTAGAACATATGTGCACAAATGTTCTTAGCAGTTTTCATCGTAGCAAAAATTAGAAACAAGTCAAGTATCAATCAACAAGTCAAGTATCAATCAATAGGTGGAACTTGTAGTTTACTCATGCAATGTAATTCTGCTTGGCAATGAAAAGAAGCAAACTATCAATACACACAACAATATGGATGAATAGCAAAAGTATTATGCTAGGTGAAAGAAGCCGCAAACAAAAGAGTTCATGATTCTGTTTCCATGAAGTTCTAGAATCAGCAGCACTTACCTATATGGTAGCAATGAGGCCACTGGTTGCCTGGGGGTTGTGGTCTTGGGAATTGACTCCAGAGGGGCACAAGGGAAGCTTTTGTGGTGATGGGAAAGTTCAATATCTTGATTGTGCTGATGGTAACCCAGGATGCATATATTTGTCAAAACTCATTGAACTCCATACTTTAAATGAGTGCATTTTATTGTCTATAAATTATACTTCAATAAAGTTGATAAATAAAAAAAACATTGGTAAGATAGTCAGAAAAAAATGAAAGGAAAAAGAAAACATTATGAGTTATGCCCATCTGTGTGTGTTTTAGCTAATGAATAAACGAGAGAGATTTGAGAGATAGAAAGCAACTGAGAAGATCTCTAGATATTACTTGGGACACAAAGTCCTTCGTCCAGAAAATGATCATGGGGTTTCCTTCTAATGTCAACTGAACAACGTTATCTTCCACAAGGAGTGTTAGGGTTTTGGGGTCTTCTCTCAGGAGGAAAGTTGGTTATTTAAAGATGGGGGGCAGAATCCTTAGCTCCTCTCTTCTGTCTTTATAGTTGGAGGGCTCATGTGGAGTGGCAGGGAACCCATACCAGCAGATCTAAAAGGATCTAGTACCAACTAAAGCAGCCTGAACATAATAGAACAAAAAGTAACAGGCCTGACTCCGACACCCAGCCGGAGATAGGGAAGCTGTCGGAGCTGCCCAGCTCATTAAAGAAAGTGCCCAGGGTCACTTCCATATTCCTAGATGTACCATCACTTCCAGAG